TCTTCAAGAGGAAGTAATTTACTTTTGATAGTTATTTTAAGAAGTAATTATACAACTGCACTAGAGAAATCACAAATTTAATTTCTCTTATTATATTCATAATAATTAATGGTTACTAACATTAATGGAAAGGGATGTTATATGCTTTGCCAAATTCATATTTACACTTATCATATGTTTTTACTAATATATGATCTATTCTCCTTTTCCTTTTTTTCTATTGTCTAATTTCCTTTGAGTTTATTATTATTATTATTTATTTTTAGAATAATCTTCTCTTGTTGTATTTTTTCTATATATCTGATTTTCATGTATTTCAAATTTGTATTTCTCAGATTATTCAATAAAATTTTTGCACATTGTTACGTTTTGCTTTTTAAATTGTCTAATATTATTTCAAGAGCTGCCAATCACACTGTTAATACTTTCGCTTTCACTATTATTTTTCATTTTTTAAATAAATATAGTTATTATCTTATTTACTAATGTTATATTATTTGTTATATTATGTGATCAAAAATAAATCTATTTACATGAATCTTTTGGCAGACTATTTTACCATCCAAAATATCCTAAATGTAACCTTTCACTTTATTTATAGGCTAAGTGATAAACCTTTTCCAAAAATTCTAATATCTTATATGCTTTCATCTATAGACTTAGCAATAACCCTCACTTTTTATCGGGATCAGTGGCAACCTAAAGCTCTCACTTTTTTACTTAGGCTTAGTAAAAACTTTATTTATAATTACTAAAACTAAACTAAAAAAAAACTTTATCTATTAATTTATAAATTCAATAATTATATATTATAAAATAAAGAAAATAAAAATAACGTTTCTTCAATTATCTCACTATTCAGTGGTCCAATTTGAATGATACACATATTGTTATGATTTTTGAAATTTGATAGTTTTGATGATCTAAAAATTATAAAATTTTGATTTGTCAAAGTCGAAATAATAACATCTATAACTTTAATTCTAAATTTGTATCTATTATTTCTTTTATCCAATTTTAGCATTTGGTCAAGTGATCTTCAGTGAATTTTGTGTGATCAAAATGTTACACATAATTTTATGAGATTAGAACGATTAGTACTATCTGTTAAACCTTTGTATAATCTTTGTGTACCCTTAATTTAACACTTCATTTTCTCTATTTTCTTTCTTAAGCTTCTTTGATATTCTTGGATTATTTTTAAAATATCAAAACTAGTAGGCATATTTATATAAGTTTAATAAAGACAATTATAATCCTGTAAGAATTACCAATTTGTTAACCTTACGCTCAACTTGTCAAACTTAGGGTAACTATGACTTAATAACAGGGAGTAATGTGCAAGAAACTATTAAGTTACTATAGAATAAGTCCTATCACAATCAACCTTAGATTTATAATTTAGACGAATAAATAACTTTTATAACTTTGTAATAATAATAAACATGATTAATATGTTGAAGGATTTTGAATATATGTAGTTTAGAAAAAGATTCCTTTATTATATAGATTTGTATTCTTAGCAATCCTTAATCTTAGATTCTAAGTCTTAAACTTGAACTATTAAGTTTACATTATTATTTCTGCCCTTTTGCAAGAGCAAATTTCTATCCTATTTATACAAAAATACAATTATAAGAAATTGCTATCTAACACTAAACTATTTTATAACGATAAGATAAATATAAAAGATAAATTATAATTTAATAATGATACTAATATAATATATAAATAAAATAAATAAAATAAAAATATTAACTAAGTTAAAAATACTAATGATATTAATAATGTTGATCATTCATCAATTTTTATGGCATAGTAAAATTGACTTCATATAGTATCAACATTAAAAAAAAATTGTAGAGATAGATTGGGAAGTTACTATAAGATCAAATGATTAAAATCTCAAACTAACTACACATTATACTATTATAGATCTTAAGTCTTTTAATATTATATATAAAAAGGATCTTGAAAGTCTTCGTACAATTCTTAAAACTTATATTATTCCTTATGATGCAATCTGATCTAATAACAATAAGTTTTTAAGAGAACAGATTCAATACATTGAAAAATTTCTTTTCTGGAATCCTTGTAAACTAGATGAAGAACTTATTATTAGATAAATATGATGATAAAGATGTTCAAGATGTCTAAACATCATAGAATAGAAGATAATTAGAAAAAAATTATTATTTTAATAAATTTTATTAAAATAACAAATAGTTAGTTAAAATAAATATTAAAAAATATTTGGAATTTATTATAAATAAAATAAAATACATAAAAAAATTGAATTCATCTTATTAAGTGAAATCTGTTAAATCATAATAGGATTAATACTTATTATAAATACTAATACAGTATTTTTATATCTTTAAGCATTTTTAATTATAATTAATCAGATAATATTAATTAATATAAATGCTTTAAATTTATTTCTAAAAATGATAAATCAGATTATTGATAATAAAGAATATATTTATTTAGTTTAAGTATTTTATTAATTAGACAATATAAAATCTTTAAGGCCTTGTATCATTTATTATTATATATTAAGTATTTATATAATTTTTTATCATTGTATATTTTTTTCTGATTTTATAGTATTTATATTAAAACCTTTTCATTAATATAATTATATGCAATTAATATTTTAACTTTAATGTTTTTAATAGTTTTATAGTCTGCTCTATAATTGATTATAATATTATCATATACTTATCAAATTATATTCAATTGATCAATTATGAAGTATTGTTATAAGAATATTAGATAATAAATATATGTAAAATTTTTATTTTAAGAGAATTTATACTATTTAATTAAGATAAATACATTTCTGAAACAATTTTATTTTATAAAAATGTATCTTATTGAAATTTTTTAAATTATTTATTAATGTATCATTTGGATAATATTAATAAAAATTACCATTACCTATATAATATATCATCTATTGACAATATAATTTGTCCTTTTCTATTTTTTCTTCAATTTATTTGATTAATACTTTTACATTTTCTATTAATTTAATTATAATAAAGATGGCATTGCAACTAGTTGCAACCATGTAATGCTTATTTATCACTAGTTGCAACTAGTTGCAATTTAATTTTTATTAATGTTACAATTAGTTGCAATTCTGTGATGCTTATTTGTTACCAGTTGCAACTAGTTATAATATTATCTTTAAATTATATCATATTATTGATTTAGTTTGTTGATTTAATTTGACTAATATTATTATCTATCTTGATAAAATATAATAAAATTAATATTCACTTAATAATATACAGATTTCTGTAATTAAATTATATATACTTCTCTTCAAAAAATATTTGATCATTTGTTAATCTTATTATTTAAAAAAATTTTTTATTTTCTAATTATTTATAACTAATAACTTTTAAAGGTAATTAATTACACTTATATTTCTTTTGTAAGCTATTCTATAATCTTATATAATAAAAAATTTATTTTTAATTAAAATTTTTTTGTTTTGCATTCTTTATTTTTAATTTTATTTTTATAAAAAATATAATATTAATTTTTGCTTTTAAATTTAAAGTTATTAAATTTTAATAATAAATATATTTTATTATTATTATAATTAATTAAATTAAAAATATATATATTTATATAAATAATAAAAATTATTTATAAAAAAAAATTATAAAAATTAATTTATTTTATTTTCTGCTTTTAAGTCAAATATAGCTCTTTTTAAATCAAAAAAAAAAAATTATTATTAAATTAAATTATTTTAATTTTTATATAATAATATTTAAAATATTATTTATCAATATTAGATCTTCTTTCATCTTTAGATAATTCCATTTTAGTATGAAATTTTTTTGGATTATTAAATTTTTTTATTGATAAATTTTTAGGAGCTTTAAATAGTTTTTGTATATTATCTTTAGAAGATATATTTTCTTCATTATTGATTTTAATAATAAAAGATTCTGATAAATTTAATATTATTTTATATAAATGATAGACAATACTATGTCTAATACCTTTACTTAATATTAAAAATAGTGTCTCAATTAATTACAACAGATGACAAATAAGTATCACAATATCGTAACGAATTATAACATTATTAAAATTTAAGTTACAAAAGGTGATAAATAAGCATCACAATGTTGCAACACCATCTTTACTTAATATACAATTACTATGTAATAATAAGCGAAAATGAAATGCTAAAATTTGTCCTAGTTTTAAAAGTGTTATAATGTTAAGTTGAGAAAAACATATTTCACTTCCTTCATAATCTCCTAAAGCAATTAAAATATAAAAATAATTGGCTTTATCATTTTTATTCCAATAAAAATCACTTATTATATTAAAATTAATAGCAATTATTGGAAAAATTATAAAAGATCTTGATGCAAATGGATCTTAAGAAAAATTGCTTAATTTTGTATATAAATTATTATAATACTCTTTGACAAATTAATTAACATAATTTGATAATAGTTTGAAAATAATAATTAACTTATTTACATATTCTAAATAATTTATATTATGATTACTTACCATATCTATACTAATATAAGAAAAACTAGTATATTTTCTATAAGCTCCAAAATATACTACTATATCTTTTCAAAAAGATTTATTTCTATGAGATAGATTATCTAAAGTATGAAAATAATAATCATTAATAACTTTTGTTGCTTGTAGAATAATAATATTATTATTAATATTTTCTAAATGTATTAATGTTTGATTATTTTAATCTACAATATATTTAGATTAATTAAATAATAATAATTTTTTAATTAATTCAATGTATTATTATTTTGATTTACTGATCCAATTAATGATTTAGATATAATATTTTTATTAATAGTATTAATATCAAATACTATTTTTTGATTTTTTTGATTTTAAATCATTATAAAGTCTTTTCCATTTATTTTTTAATAAATTTTTTTATTGTTTTCTTTTAATTGGTTTTTTAAACCTAACCATTTACCAAAAGATTTTCATGATTTTTTATTAATATTAATATTAATATTATTATTATAATTATTATTCTTATCATTATCATCTTCAACATCATCTTCATCATTTTCATCTTTATCATCATTATTTTCTTCATTATCCTCTTTATCATTATCATTCTCTTCATTATCTTCATTATCTTTATTATCTTCATCTTTATCTTATTCATCATCATTATTATATTTTATTTTTTATTATATTATTAATTAAACTTAAAGCTTCAAATAGTTCAGATTAATCTGAAGATTTTTCAGATTGGTTCAGTTCAGATCAATTTTAGATTACATAAAAATCAATCTGAAAATTTTCAGTTCAGTTCAGATTTTTTTCGGATTATAATTCTAATCTGAACTGAAAAAAATCTGAACTGAACTAATAATTTCAGATTAATTTAAAAGTTTAATTCAATTATATGCAAAACTCTTGAAAAATCACAATTTTTGTAATTTTTCTTAGTATTTCGCAAAAAAATATTGTAAAATTCTTGGAAAGTCACAAAAAATTGCGACTTCTCTTCAAATTTGCAAAAATTTTAGAAAATCGCAAATTTTGCGATTACTTATCAAATTTTACAAATTTTTGTGAACCTTAAAGAGAAATTTGTGATTTTTTGTGATTCTCCTAGAGTTTCGCATATAAATTGCAGATTCTTTATATAATTGAACTGTAATTTCAGATTAATCTAAAAATTCCAGTTCAGTTCAGATTTTTACCAGTCTGCAGTTCAGTTTAGATTCAGATTGGCATTTTTAAGATTAATAATCTAAACTGAACTGAACCAAATTTTCAGTTCAGATACAGATTAGTATCTAATCTGACCAAATTGAACTATTCAAAGCTTTAATTAAACTTAAATATTTTAAAGGAACTTTAAATATTTCTTTAAATGTTATTTCTCTAATTAATATTAAAATTAATAAATCGTTTAAAGAAATATCACATTTTTTTTTTATATTTTTTGATGATATACAGTCTTTTAAATGAAGATCAATATATTCCTATAATTGATTTATATAATAAAATTTTTCTGAAGCAGATAATTCTTTTGTTTGACCTTATATTCTATATTTTGTTAGATTAAATAAATCAGTTAAACTATTAATTTCATTTAAATCATCAAATCACTATTTTATATTATCTATATCATCTATATTCTTAAAAGCTTTATTTTGATAAGTATGTGTTTGTTGAGATAATTGTTTAAACATAATGAATTTGAATTTTTAATTTTTAATTTTTTATTTAAAATATAAAATAATAAAAAGATGCTGTAAATAATTTTTAAATAAATAATAAAATACTTTTTATTTTCTAACTCCTTTTATAATAAAACTTTTATTATATAAATAATATATAATATGAAATAAATAATATAATATAATGAATAATATGTAATACAATATCTGATATGAATAATAAAATTTTTTAATATAATACAGAACTTGCATTTAGTCAGATATAAAATAATCTATAACTGTTGATTCTAAATATCACGTAGAGGTAGCAAGTATTATTTAGAAAAAAGATGTAAATTAAATTATAATTGTGAAACTATCAATTAAACTTTGTTAAATCTTTAGCATTGTTTGAATATGGTTGCTTCAAATCCTAATCTAGTAACTTAAAAAAACTGACATATTAACATAATCAAAATAATTCAATTAGGATTTAATAAGTTAAAACTTGCAAAAGAGAGAATGCGAAAGATCTTAAGCTATAGATGACCATCCCTAATTTTCATTGTATTTGATATAATATATAAGAATATTTATTGAAATACAATAAATCAATTGAATTTTATTAAATTTTTTAAAATTAATCTAATATAAAATAATAAAATAAGATTAAAAATAATAAATAAGCTTAAATTATTAATAATACTCACTAATCAAAAAAATAAAATAAATTATGATAAAATATAAACTTTAATTTTAACTCTAAGTATTAATGTTAAATAATTTTTTTTTTTTTTTAAAAAAAAAAAAAAAATAATAGTAAAAAAAATTTACAAAAAGAAATTACTAAATAAATTAAATAATTCAGTTTAATGTTTCAAGGATTTATATTATCTTATAAGGCGTTTAGTTAGTTTTATTTTAAAATTAAAAAAAAAAACTATTAACAAATTTTTTCAAATATGCTTACTCTTAATCTGATTCCTAACTAAAGCCTCAAGAGTTCTACAAAGGTGAATTAATAAATGTTAGTTTTTTAATAAAAGAATAACTAACAAATTATTTCACACTATCCTAAGTCACTTATTTTACTTCAAATTCAGCATTCTAAAAATAAAGAAAGAAATGTTAGTAAATGTTTTTAATTAAAAAAACATCTACTCAAATTCAAATCCAATCTAATAATTTAAGTTTGAAGTTTCTTTAAGACTTAAAATTGGGAGTTAATTCCTATAAAGGGAAAAGAGAGTGAGAGATTGATTTTTTTAAAAAAAAATAAATAAGAAAAAAAGTAAACTAATGCTTATCTTTTTGTAGGTTTCAGAGGTAAGTTCCTACAAAAGGAAGGAAAAGAGAGAGATTATTTTTTAAAAAAAATATAAACTGACTAATGCTTACTTTTTTGTAAGTTCCGTTCTTCAAAACTTGAAATTTAGAGATAAGTTCTTATAAAAATAAGGAAGGTTGAGAGATTGATTTTATTAAAAAAAATAAAAAAATAAAAAAAAATGTAACTTTCTAATACTTACCTTTTTGTAGGTTCCATTCTTTAAGTGAATTTGCTGACATTGATTATTTTATATGAAAAAATTATCCTTTTACATTAGAATTATCGTATAATAATAAATTAATTCATTTGAATAATAATATTTTTGATTTACCTATGCTATTATATAATAAATTAATAGAATAGCATTTAAGTAAGGTTTTAAGCTATTATGAACTTTCTGGATATTACTTAATTAACATAAAAACTGAAGAATATATGTGTTTTGATTATATTTAGAATAGATCATTTAAAAATATTTACAAATATTGTCACGCTGTATTAATTTATCAAGAAGCAATTAAATCTTCTGATATATTACTTTTAAACAAGAAATTAAAAAGGAATTAATATATTACTTCAAAAATAAGTAAAAGATATCACTTGTAGAATTAAAAAATCTTTTAATATATAATAGAAATATTGAAACTGCTTATTTGAAAATTATTAATTTATATAATATAAATAGTAATTAATATGCTTATTCAATTTAATTATAGTAATCTAATTAACTTAATTAATATTAATTATATTAATCTAGATTCAGAAATATTTAAATTATATTACCGATTAAATAAAAATAATAAAGATCTATTTGGCTTATAGAACTTGATAATTATAAAAGTAATATAGAAGTTCCTTCAAAATCACCAGCAAAATCAAGAAAAACTAAGTAGAATTCTTAAAAATACTGATTGAAATATATCATTTTCTGAAGAAAAAAGAAGTACAAAAAAATTAGAAAGAATATTCATAATGCAAAGGTATTATAAATTAATGTAATTAATTATACAATAATGTTTGCTCTTTTCTAATAATTTAAATCATTTAGAAAAATATTAAAAATATGAAAATTCATATAAATCTTTAATTACATTATCTTCAAAGAGTTTCAACCAAGTACTTAATTAACAATTGTATAATCTTATTAGCAAAATAGCTATATTTGCTTCTTATTATCCAATTTATAATTAACACAAACTCCTATAGATTCTTCTTATATATATTTTATTAATACTATATTATACTATTCAAATGTTATAGTATAATTAGATAATTATTTAACAGACTAAAATTTATATTATTCTATATTCATACCTTATTCTTTTCTTGCAATTTTAACATTTAGTACTTCTATGCCAAGTTCTAATAATATACAATAAAAAAATAGAGTTTATTATTATGTTTAGAATAGAAAAGTTCTTAATAAATTTAATAAAAAATTTAATAAAGTCAAAAAAATTTTTTTTTATTAGAAAATTATCATTTATTACATTTATCACCTATATGATTTGTCATTAGTCCCTGTTTATTATATGATTTGCTAAATTTTTACCATATGTAATGATTTATAATTTAATCACGTTACAAAATTGATTTATTTTTTGCTTTTCTTCTTTTTTAATAACATTTTACTTTTCTTTTTTGACAATATTGAATAAAAAATCTTTTAAATACGTTCAAATTCATTTATTTATACCATTTCAGAAGTATCATATCCATATTTAATATCTCATGAATGAAAATAAGATCAAATATTCTCAGAATTTAGTATTTTACATATAGTGAGTTTTATTTATTTGTTGTTTATTTGACGTTAGGGTTAGGGTTAAAAAAGTGGGTTAGGTTAAGAATATAAGCTTTGAAGCTATGTTAACTTAAGGTTAGATTAGGATTAGGATTAAAAACTGATTATTATATTTTTCTTTTTTAGATGATTATAGTAATATAGGTAACAGAACAGTCTTGTCTAATGAGAGCAACTATGTATTTTTATATTAGAAATTATTTAAGAGAATAAAATAAACTATAAAGAAAATGTTGATTCTTTGATGCTGATATTGCAAAATCTAAAACCGTTGAATACTAAAAGATTTAAGTCATCCACTGAAACTCCTAAACTTAAGTCAAGAAGTTAACAATATTATAGAAAATATAAGAAGGTTAGCTACTATCAAAAAAATTGCAAACTATATCATCAGTGTTTGTATATATTATAGTTTCTAACTAGGAAGTATAAATAGAAAGAATATATCAAATAAAAAGAATATATTAAGAGTAATATGTCAATAATGTTTGTATAGTTTATTGCTGCACTTTAATAGTAATAATAATAATAAATTGATCACATAATATTAGTTTAATCACGTGACATTAGAGATTTAGCAATATGCCTTTTTTTAATCATAAAAATTTAATTTTTATCAATATGTAATACATATTTTATCATCAATTATCACATAATTAATTCACATTTTAGATCAAGAAAAATGTATTTTTTTCAAGAAAATAGTATGAAGATCAAGAAGGTAATTTTTGCGTCAATGTATGATATTTTACAGTTGTATCTTTGTCAAATATATAACAAATAAACTAAAATTACTTTTAAAAATGGGCATTGCTTAGCTTACAAGTAATTTTGCGTAAATGAAGAAAGGCACACAATGTAATTTGCCTTCTTTCTATAGTTTTTTTTCAGTTTTATGTATCTAAAAACAATTTATTTGTACATGATAGAGCATTGATTATGAAATAGGAGAGAATAATTGAATGTAAATATGGCTGTAATAAATATACACATGTTATTGATGATAATTAAGTGAATTAACAATAACAGTTTATATTCAATCTTCTTATTTTTATATACTAATTATACTTTATAAACTTTTATTTAATATTTAAAATTTTTATAGATTTACAGTCAACTTTTATTATAACGAACTCTATGTCCTAGACCTTAACTTCGCTATAAAGTTATAATGAAGATTTTAAGAGATTTGATTGGCTAATTCGCTATAATATAAGTATTTTTATTATATTTATTCAAAAAATTTATTATATCAAGAGTTCGCTATATCAAGAGTTGACTGTACATTTATTTTTATAATGATCTTTAGCATGACATTATTAATAATTGCTTAAGAAGTTAATGAATAATAAAATTAATAACAATTTCTCTTGCTTATAAATAACTTTATAGTATTTAACAGTCGTAATGTATTATGTTGAAAGTGACCAAATTGGATTATTGATCAGATATTGATAATTCATTCTTACTTCTAATAGCGAACTGTATGAAACTTACAAAAAAGACACTTGTAAGAGACATTATATATTTTAACAATCTTCTTGTATTATATTTATAATAAAACTTTGTAATACTCAGATAAAACATTATTAAATTTAAAAGTTAAAGTAGTATGTAAATACTAATCATTTAATAAAGAATGATGAATTAAATTTTTTTATGTATTTTATTTTATTTTATAATAAATTCCAAATATTTATTAATATTTATTTTAACTAACTATTTGTTATTTTAATAAAATCTATTAAAATAATAATTTTTTTTCTAATTATCTTCTATTCTATGATATTTAAATATCTTGAATATCCTTATCATTATATTTATCTAATAATAAGTTCTCATTCAGTTTATAAGGATTTCGAGAAAGAAATTTTTCAATGTGCTAAATCTGTTCTTCTAAAAACTTATTATTATTAGACCAGATTGCATTATAAAAAATAATGTAAGTTTTAAGAATTACACGAAAACTTTCAAGATCCTTTCTACGTGCAATATTGAAAGACTTAAAACCTATAATAACATAATGTGTAGTTAGTTTGGGATTTTATCATTTGATCTTGTAATAACTTCCCAATCTGTCTCTACAATTTTCTTTTCATATACATCAAGTTGCTAATATATGGTAAGGTAAGAGACCCTAATTTTTTCTAAAATACTTTTTTTAAAGATATATTCAGGTGTTAATTTAGATATTGAATCTATTTTAAAATTAGAATAAATAATTTTTAAGTTATAATTCTTAATTTGGATAGTTCAAAATGTAAATTGATCCTGTTAATTTTCATCTTTATACAAAGAGGTATCAAAAAGTCAGCACTTTGCTGATTTTGTTTAAGATTAAATGTCATATTAATTTGATAACCTTTCTATAAACTGAAATGGTATCAATAGTGACAAATCTTATAAAAAAAACAATAGCATTTTTAAGATAATTATGTTCTGTATTATTTTCACGTAATGTGATATTATTAGTTAATAATTCATCCAAAAAGGTTATAAGTTTAATATTTTTAGTAAAAAAGCTGATTTTTTTTACATATTTATTTCTTTTTTAAAGTTTTTGACAGATCAATATGAATTAACTTTCTAGCTAATTTATCACATTTTTCAGATTTTACAATTTCTTGTTCAAGTAATTATGTAATACAATTTAATACATCATTGTTCAAAAATTCATAAGCAGCTTCAGTGATTATTAGTTCTAGTGGATAATAAGCTAAAACTTTTATTTTATTTTGAGAGATCGCAAGACAAGTATCAAGATGATTAGCAATAAGATTTGAGGAAAAATGAATAGATGAGAAGATATCTATAGAATATAAAAAAGCAAGAATAGCCAAACTTATAAGATTTTTTGTTTCTTTATCACCATCATTAAAGTTATTGCTTCCTCCTTGTAACTTTAATTTTACAAGGATTTTAACATTTTCTCATGTCTTAATTTCACTTTCATTAATTTCAGAACCTTTAAGATATATATCTTTAAGTGCCTTTCAATATAGTCTTCCTCCAGAAAATAATTTATCATAGTAACTACCTGAGGATTCAACCAGAAAGTTATAGGTAGTAATATAAATAAATAGCATGAATATTTTACGATCAATTATTTATTTTATAGTTAAAATTTGAAATTTGTGAAGTAGTATCTAAAATTACTGAGAATAAACCTTCTACCCGTTATGTATTTCTTTAAAGTACTTATCTCCAATATTAAAATAAAGATATAGATTGATTATCATTAACATATTATAAGAGTATTCTTCTTTTATCAACATAAAGTAAGATCTTGATGTCAGATTGAATATCAAATTTTTTTTTTCAAATAACCTACATCATTACTAATATCTTTCAATTCTTGATTTTTGGTAATTTCATAAGAATTTGCAACTTCAATTGCAGGTTTTTAAATAGAATTACCATTATTTTCAAAATAATGTTTTTAAAACTCATTTGGATTATATTTTAGTATCTATCAAATAAATAGCTATTACTAAAAAATTATTGAACTATTTTACTAAATCCTTGACATTTTCAAAAAAATTGATAAATTTTTTTATACAAGTTGATGGGCAGGAAAAGCAATTTAGATTAATATCTATATTTAAGTATAAGGTATAAACTTGCTTTACATATTCTTTAATGAGTCTCAATTTATTATAATCTGAGGATTATATAATGGAAATATAAGGCATGTAACTATCTTTGTCTTTAGAACTATTATGATATAATGTAATATAATTATGAAAATTTTGAACATACTTTAAATCATCTTTAAATTCATAATTAAATACAAGAGATGTATATTCAAAATTAGGTTTATCTTTATCATAGATAGCTAATTTTAACATTCTACTCATGATATCTGCTAATGAAAAATCATAGTTAAAAAACATTGTTATAAATAATCTAATTTTGATTGTATATAATACTTACCATCAATTACAATCTTTAATACATTTTCATTTGTATTATACAATTCAGAAATAGGAGTTTCTGAATTTAAATCTTTGTTTTCTCTGTGATAAAGTATAATATTTTCTGATATATTCAACTAAATTTGATAAACCCTTTCAGTTTTTTCACATTAAGTATTGGTATCCTTCTATAATTTAACAATTGTTGACTTAAAGTAATAGTTTGATCTTTATAACGAATTCATATTTTATTAAGTGCTTAAGCTATATTAAAGTTAATAAAATATAAATAGAGAATATCAACTTAAATGAATTTGAAATATTAAGAATAATACATTTTCTCTATAAATCAATATATAATTTAATATTACTAACCTTCAATGTTTTTGATAATAATAGAGTTATTTTTTATTATTTTATAATTATTTCTTAGTAAAATGTAGTTATTTCTATAATTATTAAATAAGACTTCATTTAATTCTTTGTAATCTGAAACAGTAGGAAATTTTATTCTAAGAATAATATTTCTATTTAGATTATGTTGATTTATAATTTTTATTTTAATATCTGAAATACTGAGTTCTTTAAAAGAAAGATGTATTTATACTAAATCATTATTTTAGTATTTATACTACAAACTATTTTTCAGTTTCTTAGATCTCATCTTCAAAAAGATGAAATGAAATGATATTGTTATGCTTTCTACTTATTTTATTGATAATCAGTGATCTGTTTGTTATATTGTACAATAAAAAAGTTTATGTAATTTTAATTACATATTTTATCTAATTCACCTAATTGTATGAGATTCATAATTACTAAATTATTTTTAATTATTTAAAGTAAAATATAATAGTAAATAAAATAATACATTTAAAGATATTTAATTCCTATATTTTTTTTAATTGTTCACTTTATCTAGCTTTGTTATCATCCCTTATATATATTTCTTATCAGATCTGGATTATTAGATTTAAATCACGTATTTGACGCAGTCTAATCTGTAAATTCATTTCTATTATTATTATTTAGAATATTTACTACGAGATCTACTCTAATATAACTAAAGATAGCGCCTCAATTAGTTGCAACAGGTGACAAATAAGTATTACAATATTGCAACGAATTGTAATATTATTAAAATTTAAGTTATAACAGGTGATAAATAAGCATTACAATGTTGCAACACCATCTTTAAATATAACACTAATTTTTAAAATTGAACAGCATGAATTGTGTTATCACAAAAGCTATTCATTACATATGATTATAATAATATTATAGACAATATATAATCATAAGAGATTGAAATAATTTTAAAGTTCTTTATTTATTAGACTTTAAAAATTTATTTGTAAAAAGAAAATCTTATAATCCTATGTAAAAATCAAACGGAAAATATCCAATTTCAAAAGAATTATTCATATTTATTAAAAATTAACCTTATATATAATTACACCAGAATTTATACCTAAGGCGTAAAATAGGACATTAAGTTTTTCTTAAAAATTTACTGAAATTTTTTTTAAAATCAAAATGAAAAATATCCAGTTTCAAAAATTAAACCTAATCTTATTCGACTAAAATCTCCTACTCCTATACCTAAATCTCAGTTACTGACCCCTATCCCAATAATTCATACCTAAGAAAAAGATTGAAGAAAAGAAAAATCAAAAGTGGATATCTCAGCTCTTGAGACTTCTATTCTCAGTTAACAATGTGAAACAAACAAAATCAAATCTACATCATCTGACCCTATCATTATTAACAAATTTAAAGTCTTTTTTTACATTGAGAAATCTCTTTCACATTTCACACTTGAAAAAAGAATTAAGTAAATAGTACTCAATAATTTTAATATAGGGGTTTTACAATGAAAAGAAAAATCTTCATTAATATTAGCAAAAATTTGTTGTTTTATAATTTAGCATAAACTATTGCTTTATATTATTCCATTTTTCAAAACTATTATAATCAATGATTGACACATAATATTTTTATCAAAAATATTTAATTCGTTCTCTCTATAGTTGACGAATAGTTTCTTTATTATCAGGCTAATCTAGGGATGTTAAGTGATTTATTCCAAACCGGTTTAAAACTGGTTTATGCTTAAACTACTATGCTTTAGTTTCAAACCGGCTAGTTCCTGGTTTGTACTGTGTCGATCAATCTATTATAAATCAGTTTAATGACCAAGCTTAAATAAAAACTCGCTCTGACTTCATTTAATAGTTTTCGTAACTACCTTTTTATCATGTACGCACATAATATAATTGCAAATATTATCAATTATATAATGACAGACAATGCGCATCTATGGTTGAAAATGAACGACAGGTAAAGAAAGTAAGCTATACCATCCAATTTGGCAATATCTCTTTTCGGAATATGGACAAAGCTTGTTTTACTTGTAATATATGTCAGCAAGAATATGGTCAGAAAACAGGAGCTACTAGACACACAGTTATATTTCCAAATTAGAAAATTAATAGTCTAAACCAGGTTTGAAATCAGGTTTTAACTAGTTAGTTTAAACCGAATCTCAAGTAGTTCGAGACCTGTTTCTACTAGTTTTCAAATGATTAAAATTTTCAATTTGGAGATCTAAAATGACAAAATTATAATAATTAAATCTGAATCATAAATCATCAAAATATTCATAAATTCGTATCGATTATGTAACTGCATATTATATTAGTGAAGTTGTAAAAACATCGATACTGTAATAATTAGTTATATAATTAATTAGTTTCAAAATCTTAAAAATAGCAAATATTATTGTTTGCATATTGTTAACGATGTACCAATTTTTAATGATTTAGTATTTTTTTTTTTAATAATTTTTACAACATTTAAATTTATAAGTGATTATTTTAACATATAATTTTTTGAATGTAAATTTGCATTATTGTGAAATAAATCCATTATTATTAAAATAAACTTATTCTTTCATGCTATGCTTATGCCTTATGTTGTCAGGCGTAGTTTCGGTAACACAAACCAGATATTCAATAGACGTTTGATTTTCGTTAGTCTTGATGAGTTCTAAATGGAAAAAGACATTAACTTGCGTTTACTGGACGCAATTTCTCTCGAGAAAGTTTCTCTTGTTGAGCAGCTTTTAGAGCAAGGCGCAGACATATGGTTCAAAGACGAAAAGGTAATTATGAAAATGATATTTTTTTAAAATTATTTTTAATTTTTCTCCTTGCACATATAATAGGGAATAAGTCCTTTGCATTTCGCGTGTTCAAATGGCAATTTAGAAATTGTTAAATTATTGCTTCAAAATGGTCACGCTTGGAATGTTGTTGACAATGAAGGAATCACGGCTGGCGAATACGCTAAACGTAAAAGTCATGAGTTGGTTTATGAATTGCTTCTCGAAGAAGGATGTAGAGCTGAATTGATATTAGGTATGTATTCAAAGTTCTCATTCTAAATGTAAAATAAATTCATGACGATTCATGAACAAAAATATTTGGTATTAGGATTACTTTGTTCAAAAACAAAGAACGAAAAGACATCAAATGCTGATTACTTATCACAACCTCTGAAGTATTCACATGATGGAACTAAATTACTTGATTATGAAAACAATGGTGTCATGATGGGATGGGAGAAGCCTTTAATGGATAGACATGCGGAAATCATATGCGTTAAGGAAGGTCTTGATATTTTGAATATAGGATTTGGTTTGGGACTAATTGATACCGCATTTCAACGATACAAACCTCGCAATCACACAATAATTGAAGCTCATCCAGATGTTTATAAATTCATGATGAAACAGGGTTGGAACGATAAACCAGGTGTAAAAATTATTCATGGACGTTGGCAGGACGTATTAGACCAAATTGATACTTATGATGGCATTTTCTTTGATACTTTTGGAGAGTATTATGAAGATCTACGTGAATTTCATAAAGTACTGCCAAATATTCTCAAAACTGACGGAACATATTCATTTTTCAATGGACTAGGAGCCACCAACTCATTTTTTCATGATGTTTATTGTCGTATAGCAGAAATGCATTTGGCAAATGTTGGATTGCAAACTGAATATATAGAGATTCCAATTGATCTTTCTAACGATGAGATATGGGAAGGAGTTAAAAGTCGCTATTGGACATTAGATACGTATAGATTACCGAAATGCCAATTCATGTTAGAATTATAAATATTGTTTTGCAATATTTAATGCAAATGCGTAAGAATATAAACGACTATCGATCCATAAATCTTCAGAATGCAGTTGTTGCAACTCTAAATATATAAAGAAGTGCGTTTTACGATTAATGATGACAAGATAAACATATATATATATATAAATATTTAATAAAAATAGTTCTGACTTTGTAACGTATCGTATAAGTTATCTAAGGGAATTTTAATCGTCTGTAAGCTCCATTCATCATCTTCCAATTTTTTTTTAGGATTGATATTTTCGATAGAAGTCAGATCAATCTTTTTAGAATAAATGAATTAGGATAAAATATTATTAGCATTACTGAGAAATTTTTATTACGAAATACCTCCATGTCGATTATTTTAGTCAATGAATCTGTCAACCCAGGTTCGTAACAAATAGGCTCTGATATTCTTGTTATTTGACCATAATATCCTGTTTCTTCTTGAAGTTCACGAAGCGCTGCGGTTTCCACTGTTTCATTATCATCAATAAGACCTGATGGAAATTCTATACAATACCTTCCAATAGGCGGCCGAAACTGAATCACCAAAACAATTTGAGGCGGTTTATTTTCTTCTCGTGTGATTGCATGTATATCAACGGCTAAAATGAATTATCTTGATAAGAAATTTTAAAATATTGTGTGTGCCTTGTTATAAATATTTGTCATAAAACTTTACCATCAATGCTTTTTTTTTCTTTAGTTGTTGTAGAACCTTTCCGTTTACAAACTTCCCATTTTCTTGTTACTTTAGTACTTGGATCGATATATTCGATTTCTTGTAACTCTAACCAGTGACCGTTACCTAGTCTTTTAACGTTAACTGTTGATTTATCAATTTTATGAAATTTAATATCGTACTCCATTTCGTATGATAGAAAAAAAAAAAATCATTTAAATATAAAATTGGTCTCATGTATACAGGTTACGGTTGTGTAATTCTATTTACAAGTTATTAGGTAATAAAAAATGATCATCTGGCTATAAGAAGAAATTTAATATACAGTACCTATCATCTGTTTCTAATTTAGATTAAAATGAAAAAGAAATATCAGCAATGTTAATAGAGGTCGCTCAGCTTTGTCTGGAAATAACTTTGCTTACGATATTTTCGTATTATATTTTACCTTATCCATGCTAATCCCACAGATCAGACAAAGAAAATCATTCGCATTGAGTTTAATTCTCATGTTGACATCGATCAAAGCTTATGCTTTAAAATTACTAGTTTAAATACCGTACAGCACTGTCTAAAATACCCCGAGTCTATATCAATTTCAGCAATTTAAAAATTGAATTATACCTGTAGGTAATTTGTATAGCCTAATTTCACCAGAATTAAAATTTTTAAACCACATTTTATACCCGGGTATATGATGAGTGAGTACGCTAATCTCAATTACTAAGTCTAGAGTTCTGAACGAGTCAAGTTTAAATCAAGTTGAGTTTATGTTTTTTTGACTTGATGATTTGTGAGTCAAGCCAAATTTAAACTCGAATTGACTCGAGTTGACTTGAAATAGTATTATTTTTAAGGATGTTAAAATCCAGTCTGGTCCTAATCTGGTCTTGAAACTCCTAGTCCATAGGACTTGGATCCTAGAACTGGATTCTAAGACCAGGTCCTGAAACTGCAATTCTAGGATCGCGGTTCTATAAAAAAATATTGTTTAAGAAGGATGATAAAAAATCGTTCAACTTGAAAATTAAAAAAAATGTTTAAGAAGAACGATGAGAAATCGTTTGACTTGAATAATAAAAAAAATCATTTAAGAAGAATGATAAGAAATCGTTTGACTTGAACAATAAAAAAATTGTTCAAGAAGAATAATAAGAAATTGTTCAACTTGAATGATAAAAAAATTGTTCAAGAAGAACGATAAGAAATCTTTCAACTTGAACGATAAAAATATTGTTCAACGATGAGAAATTGTTTAATTTGAACAATAAAAAAAATCATTCAAGAATGATGATGAATTGTTCGACTTGAACAATAAAAAAATCGTTCAAGAAGAACGATAACTAATCATTCAACTTGAACGATAAAAAAATCGTTCAAGAAAAATGATAACCCAAATTGTTTGACTTGAACGATAAAAATCTTTCAAGAAGAATGATGACCTGAATCGTTCAACTTGAATGATAAAAAAAATCATTTAAGAAGAATGATGACAAATCGTTTGACTTGAATGATAAAAAAATCATTTAAGAAGAATGATAATGAACTGTTTGCTTCCCCTCTTCTCTGATCTTTTCATTTTTTTTATTATTTTTTTTCAAAATTGAATCGAGTTAAAATTAAGTCAAGTCAAATTGAGTTGAATTTAAAATTTATATAACTCGAATCAAATCAAATTGAAAAATTTTATAAAATAAATTTAACTCGACTTGACTCAAAAAAAAAAAGTCAAATAGAATTGATCTTTAAACTTGACCTGACTCGACTCATTTAGAACTCTAACTAAATCTAATATTAAATTCTATTTTTATTCATCAGTTATATCATGTCTACTAAAATAGGTTATTGTCATACTCAAAAAAGGAATAGTTATTTTTTTTATTTATATAGTAGCAGTTATAAGTATCTGACTGCCTCTAATTTCAGCTACAAGTAAGTAAATTCAAAATTTTTTTTTTATTTAAAAAATACATAACTAACTAACTAAAATTAATATATTATATAGTCACCATCTGATTCTATAAGTGCAGCTATACGCCTTTTCATGCTAGCTATTAAATTCGCAGCAAGTACAAGTGATAATCAGTTTTATTCTTTTGTAAGTTCTTCCTTTAACCCTCTAATTGGTCAAATTTTTTTTTTGTATATTAATTTTCATTAATCTCCAAATGTTTTCTATAGAGATTTGGTCTAGAGACATTGATGATCAAGAAAGTACCTCAATGCCATTTTTTTTCTTCCATTTTTTCATGATTTTTAATTGATGTTTTAGATCATTATCTTCTTGCAAAATTCAATCTATGTTACCTTCACCAAAAAGTTTAGAGGTGAAAGCCAGAAGACCCTATTCATAAATAATATATATAAATTCAGCATTAAGGTTCTTCTGAAAGCAAAATAGCTTACCAAATCCAGAAGCAGAAAAACATTCCCAAACATGAACTTTTAGTGGATGCTTAACAAAATAAAACACTTTTTTTCTATCAGAAAACTGCCAAACCTTTTTTTTGATATATATAATTGAAATGTATTCTTATCTATAAAAACAACTTGATTCCAATCAAAATTCTTATGTTTTTTTTCTCATTGCAACCTTTTCTTTCAATGGTCTTTTTTAAGCAAAGGTTTAGAAATTTCATTACTAAACTTTCCTCCAGACTTACAAAGATGTTGCCTTACTATTTCTACATTAAGCCCAACATCTTTTTTTCCATTTTTTCTTGTATTTGAATGGCTGTTATATTATGTTCTTTCTCTGCCATCTTTACAATCTTGTCATCTTATT